ATGGTCCCTGTGCTGGACAATATGACCCCAGCGCCTCTGACACAGAACTGCTCAAACTGCAGCCAGATTTTAGTCCCAGAGCTTAACGTGGTCAAGGCTGTGGTTTTGGGCCTGGTGCTTGGCATTTTAATTTTGTTTGGAATAGTTGGAAACATCCTGGTAATCCTCTCTGTGGTCTGCCATCGACACCTGCGGACAGTCACACATTATTTTATAGTTAATCTGGCCGTGGCAGATTTGCTGCTGAGCACCACTGTACTACCCTTCTCTGCCATCCATGAGATTGTGGATCGTTGGGTTTTTGGACGGGCTTTTTGCAATGTTTGGGCGGCTGTGGATGTGCTCTGCTGCACCGCCTCCATCATGAGCCTTTGTGTGATCTCTGTTGACCGCTACATTGGAGTAAGTTACCCTCTGCGCTACCCAACCATAATGACGAAGCACAGGGCGCTACTGGCAGTGATGCTGCTGTGGGTGCTGTCCATCATCATATCTGTCGGACCTTTGTTTGGTTGGAAAGAGCCAGAACCTGAGGACGAGTCCATCTGCAAGATCAATCAGGAGCCGGCCTACGCTATCTTCTCTGCTTTGGGCTCCTTCTACCTCCCTCTGGCCATCATACTGGCCATGTACTGTCGGGTTTATGTGGTAGCTCACAGGGAGAGCCGGGACCTGAGAGAGGGCTACAAGACGGAGAAGTCAGACTCTGAGCGGGTGATACTCCGGATACACAGAGGCAACACAACTGTACCAGAGGATGAGGGCCTCCACAGCCGCACACATTTCGCCCTTCGCCTGCTCAAGTTCTCACGTGAGAAGAAGGCCGCCAAGACCCTGGGCATTGTGGTTGGCTGCTTCGTGTTGTGCTGGTTGCCCTTCTTCCTGGCGCTACCCATTGGTGAGTTTTGTTCATCTTGTATACATTCTTAGGTCTGTACAGTAAATATGATGTTACAGCCTGTGGCGTGTTAGCATAGCTTAGGTTAGCATAAACTGAAAAAAACAGGAAACCGATCAGCTAATTGCTAAAAGACATCTGCCTTCCACCACATTTAAAGATCACAAATGAACACAGTATTTGTTTACATTTTCAAAGGGTCAAAATCACATTTTAGTTGGAACTTAAATTTGGACAGTCTTTGTTTTAAAAAAAAGTTTTTAAAGAGACGGGATGGTAGCTGTTTCCTGGTTCCAAATTCATATTTAGTGTCCAGAAACGAGATTCTTATCCAACTCCGGTAACATTGTGTGTTTTCTCTGACAATTCCACCATTCATTTACATTAAAGATGCACATCGCAGTTGATTTAGCTTTTTTTTTAGAACATTTTTTGGACTCAAGAGTGGAATTATTGGATCCAGTGTCAAAAGGGGGAGATAGATACAATTGCCTGAAACCTCCCTGCAGTCCCAATTGATTCAACTTTTTAATGATTTTGCAAATTAAAAACGGTTTCGTATTTGATCACCTGCACTCCCACATATGAGTCAGACACTTCTAGATAGCTATTTAACTTCTGCATTAATTTATTGTAAAGATCCATTCATCGATTCATGCTGCTGCCAGGTTTTCAGTAGTGGAGCATTTGATAGTTTGTTAATTTAATTTCTCATCTGTGGGCGGACACTGTGCAATCATTCAGACAAGCCTTGTGGCCTCATGGGCAGCGTCGTAAATGCTTTGACTTGGCCAGGTAGACTTTCTATAAATAGGCTAGATAAAAATGTTAGATCCCTGGCTGACTCCAGGTGACACTGCTCCCGTCTGCAAAAATAAATCACAGCATCTAAGGCCAGCAAGTATTTCCAACACAAATTGTTCAATGAAATGTGAAGCCATTTCTCTGATCCCTCCTCTCTTCATTGTGTCTGTGACTCACAATCCTCTCAATGCCATGGCAGGGCTAACAGACAAAAAACATCACATTGGTGTCACACCTTATTTGATGTCCCCCTCACTGCTGTTCCTCAAGTGTGCTTGAGGGGAATTCACACAGCTTGCCAGCCTTGCATGGACTATATGGGCTGGTGTCAATGGAGGGACCAATATGTGATATGACAAAACCCACATAAATCCCTCTGGGCTTTTTAAAATGTATTCCATGCTCTCATGCTCGTAAATATAGCTGCTACGAGATCGCTTTTTTTAGTTGTTTCCTGACTAGGAAATGAGGAAAAGCCTCAGCTTACCAATATTCTCTTACTAAAGCTAGCGTCAGACTGCATACTGCTGCCAAATAAGTCTCTGGACATAGAGAGATTTATCATGAACCAACAAGCAATGGTCTGGTTTTGACATGTTTAGCTGATTAAGACATGATTGATTGATGTTATACTGGAGTTAACATTATTTTGAGAATAAAAAAACGTTGAGGAATTTGATCATGTAAAAAAGTTGGCTGTCGGCTGTGCATGGTGATGAAAATCTGGTTTGAGGGGCCCCCAGTGAATGTTTGCCTAGGGCCCCCATACTCTAGGATCGCCACTGGGAAGGACAATTAAAACAGAGCCTGTCAGTTTACCAATCAGAGCAGACTGGGCTCTGGTTTAAGACAGAGGGTGAAAAGAGGTGCTGCAGGACAGGCAGTATGAGAAATGAAGACCTTTCTGAACATTAAAGCATGTAAAATGTTACAGTACAGGCGCACAATTAAAAAATTAATCTGAAAATGAGCATAAAATGGCCCCTTTAAAGAATTGAAAAAGATAATTTGTTTTGCCTCTGTGTTTCTTTGTGGATTGTCTTCTTCTCCCCTTCTCAAGGACTACATATATATATATACACATATACATAGGACTGTTTAAATTCCCTTTGGTTTGGTTTTATCCCTGGTGTTTTGGTGTCTCTGTCCTTTTTTACTGCAGTTGATTACAGCTAAAACTCAAAATGCTGCTTGAAAGTATCTTTAAAGGACTGAGTTCATTGAGTTCCGTTTTGTAAAAAGGCTAAATCTGGATAAAAATAACCTTTTAGAGAGATCACAGAATTGACCGGTTATTCAACAGTTTTATTTTTAATTGCACACAATACATTTGACAAATATGACAACTTGAATAACACAGTTTTCACATGAAAACAGCCAGTGATTTCTTATTGATTTTGCACAGCAATACATTTATCCACAGCAGCAATACCTTTCTTCTTTTTCTATGGTGTGTAATAATATAATTGTTCTTTTGACACAGCTGGGAATAAAATATATGAGAGGCACAGCCGGCACAAAATAATTTGCTCTCAAATTCTCCCCACCTCTTCTTTCTATCCCTCTCCATATCACAATCTCATTTTTCAACAGCCCACATATAACCGTCTGCAACAGTCTGTCCAATATAACATTTCACAAGACAGCTTCTCCCCTTCTACCTCTAAATATAGATAGATAGATAGATAGATAGATAGATAGATATATAGATAGATAGATAGATAGATAGATAGATAGATAGATAGATAGATAGATAGATAGATAGATAGATAGATAGATAGATAGATAGATAGATAGATAGATAGATAGATAGATAGATAGATAGATAGATAGATAGATAGATAGATATTGCTGCACACAATAATTAATCATGAATTAAGCAATTTAATTATTCTAATGTGTCACTGGATATGTGAATAATCACATTTGCAGTGACTAACAGGGCTGCATGTAATGTGCCTGTTAAGCCATTTTATCTGCTTCTTCATTAAGTATCCAACTCACGGTTTAGTCTGCTAATGCTTCCTCTAATCACAAACAGCTCAATTTATGAAGGCAATTGTAATCAAACACTTCACCTTCCCAGCAAATGGGGAGCTCTTTTAAGTCAAAACTAGATTAAACTATAAGAAAAATTAAGTGGATGTAAACCAGAGGAATTATGTTTCTCTCCGTAGCTGCAGATAATTTTACTGTAATTTTATAATATATTCGATGAAACAGATACTAGAGAAAATGGAGCTCCTAATGGTTTTAGCCGTGGCAGCAAGATTTGATATTGGTATTTCTCTTATTCAGTGCAATAGATTGACATATTTTGTCTGTGTTTTCTGTATAAACATTCATATTCCCCCATAAGGTTCATTCTTTATCACTGACCTTTCCTTTCAGGCCACCCTAAGGTTGACATTTGTGCTTTAGAGGGAAATATAACTATTCGATGGATTGTTTTTCATTTTGCAATGTATTATTTTCAAGGTCTCAATGCTGTCTCTTTTGCAGGTGTTAGGTATCTTATACGAGCATTTTCAAGTGGTGGGAGGGATCCCTAAGGGACCTCAGAGTTACTGTAGAAGGGGCACCAACTTGCCTTTGAGAATGTCTTGAAAGAGTTTTCTTCAACATTTTAAATGTATCTGAAAATACACATTACTGTAACATATATCCAACATCATTTTAGGAAAGATAAATCAGATTTAAGAGCAATTTAAGGTACACAACATTGAGAGTAATCTAAATGTTAACATTACCTTATGCAATCAAGTAAGCTAGCTAACCTGTGCTAAAACACTGTGAGGCACACATTTACAACAGCAAACTAGTCATTTACTGCTTTATTTTAAATTATTTTAATAGCTAAATATTGTTTGCATCATAAAAATATATATTTAAAAGGTTGTTGAAGACCCAATATAATATGCAACTCGATTTTATACATATTTAAGGGGGTCCCTACGTGCTCTGTTTCTCTTTTAGCAAAGATGTAGGCTACTTTGCCTGAAAAAAGGTTGAAAACCCTTGCTTAATAAGATCCCAGATACCTGTAAAACAAATTGCCTTCCCAGCAATTACACCTGCACTTTGTGTTTACCTCATTCGAAAAAGCGTCGGCCTGCTAACAGTCCAAATTTTGAACTATGGAAAATAATACCGGCTTAACGTTAGCATGATAGCATTGTCTTTGAGAGAATGTTTGCAAACTGATATAGAATTTTAGTTCATATTGCATCTGGTAGCGTGGGAGTTGACCTTTGTTTTCCAATCAATGTAACTCCACGTTTCAGAGAATAATTCAGTT